CCCTGTTTATTCCTCATACTTTGTGCACTGTTGTATAGACATTTGAGTCCATTTTGATTGACTCTGTGTTTACTGTCTACATAATCTATGTTATATGTCTGACTGCCCCTATTTTCTTGCCATTTGTATAATTCATGCACGTAGTATGGCACTCACTATTAAATGCTTGGTTTTGCTTGACAGCAGGAGTGATCATCTTATCCACACAAACATCTATGTTACATGCACTGATAACCCTATGAATTTTTGATTTTGGCAAAAATCAAAAATTGACGCACCAAGATTTCAAAGAGGTAAGTAAGAAAAAAAATTGTCCTCCCCGGCCCCCAGGAGCACTCTGCAGGCTTCAGCAGGGGTGGGATAAGGCAAAAACACCCCCATTTTTTGCCCATTTTTCACAAAAATGGGATGCGGGGCAGGGCTTCAGCAGGCCAAAAATGGCTGTATTTGATGTATAAGGCACACCAACATTTTCACAATCTTTTAGGGGGGGAAAGGTGCGTCTTATACTCCGAAAAATACGGTATGTGTATTATTAGTAACCATACATTACTGTTAAATTAGTAGCATAGTTGTTAAGTAAATCTAGCTTCCCCATTGACTTTGTTTGTTAGAAGGTTGCAAAAAGGTGATCAACCACTAAGGTCACAAAACGTGAGTCAGTTGTCAAGTGTCTGAATTTTGATCACATGACTATGAGGATGCTGCAACAGTCATATGGGTGAAATATGGTCATAAGTCACTTTTTTCAGTGATGTAAATTTGAGTGGTCACTAGATGAACTGTTCTAAGTTGAGGATTACCTGTATGCAGTATTATTGAGAACACTTTGTGATGATTCCCTGCCAGATATGCAGGAAATATTTTTGCTTCCCAAAATTGTCCTTCTATTGTATCTCATTTTCAAACTGACCTTCATTTTGTTTTGTTTTGTTTTTGTTTGTTTGTTTGTTTCATAATGTCTATAGGACCTGGGTTTGAAACTTATCACCAACACCAGAGTTAAGAAACCAGTATCCTGTGAGCTGTCACATTTTCAGAGAAAGGTTTACCATGCATTCCATACCGTGGGAGTGCCATTACTTGGCAAGTTTCTTTCTAAAATGCACTGTAGAAAGAGAGACAATGGATCCCAGCTACAGCTGCATCAATAGCTAAAATAAACAATGTTGTTAAAGAACTTTAGGTGATCTGACTGAAACTTCAGTTCCCTAGATTGACAGTAAGTAGTATTGGGAGAATGGGGTGAGAATCTGGATTTTGTGCTGGACACTGACAAAATGGCTGCCATGGATGGTTAAGGATGCATTGCCTATTCCAGAAGTGGTTTCCACAATGACATTTCTTATTATGAAGCCTCCATTTATCTTAAAGCAAACAAGTGAGGTTCCACCAGGCCACTTTCAAAGTTACCCTTTCTTCTCATTTTGAAGGAAAAGCAAAGACTTGTGCCCTGAGGGGAAAAAAAGAGAGTCCTAGTTTAAATAGCTGGGCAGGTACATGAAGTGGCCTTCTTCCCCTGTGATGTGGACACCCTAAAAATTTTGGAATAGTTTCAGACCATTATGCAAAAAAAGAAACAACTTCAGGAAGTTAAATGCTCACCTATTTTACCTCTGGGAAAGCATAAAATTTGTGTTTGACAGATTGTCAGTAACCACCCTCTTGTCATGGCCTCCACTCCCTCATCCCCAGGGATCTATTTTGCATCTACTTACAGGAGGCAGCCCAATGGATTTTTCAGTAGCCAATACAATTCCAGAAGCTCTTGATTCAGTCTCCAAGAAGGAAGAGGAAGCCAAACCTAGAACAAACTTTCCAGACACCTGGATTTGGAATCTGATCCCTGTCAAGTAAGTGAATGTTCAATGGGTGAGGAACTAAAATATCATTTCAGAGAATGAAATCTGCTTTCACTGGCTGCAGTGAAAGAAATCAGCCATTCCTTTGCATCCCACAGAAAAACAAATGCTTTCAAACATATTGCTGTCTGGACATTTGTATCTGGATCCTTAGATTTATTCAGTGTATACTTTGCAATGCACAAATATTTCAGAACAAATCTTTAATTTCTCTTTAGACACTGTTAATTTTTACATACTTAGCATTTTTAGATAATGGACAAGTAGATTGTCCAATAAATAATCAATCCATTGAAGACCATATCCACTGTTCAAACAATCATCCAGTGTCTTTCTTAAAAGTGGATGCAAATTATTGACAACTTCCATTAGTGCATAGTGTCATGACTGAAGCTTGGCTTGCTTTGCAAATCCCACTCACAGATGGACAAGAACAATGGGGGGAGGGAATAGATTGGAATGCAGGGGAGGTATAAAGAGGGGGGGAATGCAAAGAGACCCAAGGTCAGTTGCTGAGAAAGTCTGGTAGGCAGAGAGTGAATTACCCAAACAAGCTGAACTGATTGGATGGAGTAAAGTGACAATGGGAAAACCAGGGGAAATGGGAACTATCATATTTGCATGTGAAACCATTAGAATTGGCTTTGCTACTTCCTTATCCATGTTGATAAATGATACTCTTGGTATAATTTGCCTGTCCCGGGAGTCTTTATTTGCTGTATGAACCATGTGGGATAGTTGAGATTTAGCCAATTCTCTCATCAATAACCTGGCTGGACCCTACCAGAAGGTTTGAGCAACGATGTCAATAGAGAGAGACCCATAGGAAAAGAAGAGGCTGGGAGAAAGTCTGGCTTGAGAAGCACTGACAATCTCCAAGGTTGGAGCAGGTGCCCAAGCTGTTGGGGCATGCCCAAAAATGAAAATGAAGAAGTTGCATCAGCAACCCACAGTGGTAGAAGAACACCTGAAGGAAGTCAAAGCAGAGAAAGGAATAAAGAAAAACCCCATGCAAAAGCATCCCCAAGCCTCCCCCCTCCAACAGAATGACAGTGTCCCAATAGAGATCTATGGAACCTGACATGTTTCCCCCTCCCTAAGAAAAGGAGAATTCCACCTGGAGACAAAGAAACTAACAAAGAGGAAAGAAAATAATAGGATCAATTAGTTAGAATTGTCAGGATAAAGTTGGTGGAAATGTTTAATTAATTTTGGAGCTCTAATGTGCTTTTTATGAACCCATTCATACTGGGTGGCCCCATGGTGTTTCCTTGAATCTAGAATTTCTTTGATTTCAAAATTTTGTTCACCCTCTACCATGATAGTTTGTGGCAGGAAAGGAGCTATAGGCCTTAAAGGCGAGGTCACCTCTGGTTTCAGTAGTTTGTAGTGGAAGATTGGACAGACTTGTCGTAATGATTTAGGTAATTGCAGTTCTACTGTGTCCGGGTTTATGATATGAGTGATGGGGAAAGTCCCTACAAACTTTGGTCCTAGTTTCTTAGATGGTTGTAGGGACTATAGGAATGAGTGGATAGGTAAACCCAATGTCTGGTTTTAAATGGCTTGGGTTCCACTCTCTTTTTATCTGCCTGCAATTTGTTGACTGCTTTGTCTAAGACTTCCAGGTGGTTCTTAATTGATTGATCCACTCCTTCAAGGAGGGGATAGTGGGCTCAGTAATGGGCAGCTCAGGCATTGTATTGAATTCTTGACCTGTAGCTACTTTGAATGGAGAAACCCCATGCTGGTGTGCATGGTATTGTTGTAACCAACCTCTATGAATAGTAATAGGTCTGTTCAATTGTCTTGCTGGTAATTAATAAAGCATTGGAGGTACTGCTATAGAACTGAGTTAATTCGTCCTATCACTCCATTTGTTTGAGGATGGTGACTAGAACTAAGGCCCTGGTCAGTTCCTAAAAGGTCTAAAAATGCTTTCCAGAATTTGGAAGTGAAATGATCCCCTTGATCTGATATGATACGACACGGGGCACCATGGAAACAATATATGTGGAATAGGTACAGTTTTGCTAGGGTCTTTGCCATTGGGATCTTTTGGCATGGGATAAAGTGGACCTGCTTTGAAAATAGGTTGGAAATGACTGTGTTTCCGGCACTCTTGGAGAATTCCACAATTAAATCCCTGGAAATCTCTCTCCAGGGTGCTGAAGGATCAGCTACCAGTTCCAAAAGGCCAGGCATTTTTCCTTGCCTGCATTTTGCTGCAATGCAAGTGGGGCAACAAGCAATATAGCTTTCAATGTCTTTTTTTAGAGATGACTACCAAAATTGTTGTTTCAAAAGGTGCAGTGTCTTCACAAACCTGAAGTGTCCTACCAGTTTTGAGTCTTAGCAGGCTTGCATGGTTTTTAGTCTCTCATTGGCTGGGACATATACTTTTCCTTCCACCCATAGTAGTCCATTTTGCCTAGAACAAGCGGTTTGTGGTTAAGAAACCACTCATCCATTTCTAGGACTTGTTTGAAAGTTGAGGTGGTGATGTTATCCATAGGTGGGTCCCCTTTCACTTGTGGTTTCCTGGTGACACAAGCTGCTAATTGCAATGTGGGAGGCATGGATTTAACTATTTCTGTCTTTGCACTATTGTACTGAGGTAGTCTGGACAAGGCATCTACCAAGACGTTTTTCCCTCTCATTAAATAGCGGAGGGTGAAGTTAAATCACTAGAAGTACTGGACCTAATGTACTTGTTTGTGGGGCATCTTCCTTGGAGTCTTTAGGGCTTCCAGATGCTTGTGGTCTGTTCACACCTGGAATGGGATTTATTCCCTTCTAAGAAGTGCTGCGAGGTGAGGAGAGCTCACCTAACTGCAAAAGCTTCCTTCTCCCATACTGCCCAATGCTGCTTGGTTTTGGTTAGTTTTTTCTATGTGTATGTACAGGGCTATAATTGATCACCCCCTCATTTTCCTGGAGTAGGACAACCCCAACTGCCACATTGCTGGCATTGGCCTGAATTATGAATGTTTTTTGGAGGGGTCTGGATGCTTTAGCACCTGCTCGCCTTTGAAAAGCTGTTTTAACTTTTCAATGCTGCTTGGCATTCCATAGCCCTTTTTAGTGTTGGCTAGGTTTAGGCTTATCTATCTCCTTGGACCTCAACAAGCTAGTGATAGGAAAGGCAATTTGAGCAAATGATAGGATGAATTGCCTATAGAAGTTTGAAAATCCCAGGAAGCTTTGTAGCTGTTTTGGGGTGCATGGAGTTTCCCATTCTAACAGAGCTTGCACTTTCTCTCGGTCCATCTCTAGCCCTTGGTGCAAGATCCAGTATCCCAGATAATCTATTTTGTTTGTGAAATTCGCCCTTGGAAAATTTAATATATGGTTTGGCAGATTAGAATTTTTCAGGACTGCTCGGACCAGCTTTATGTGCTCAGAGTTTGTTTCAGTATATATTAGAATGTCATTGAGATGCACCAAAACACTCTTATATAGGTACTTATGCAACACCTCATTTATCAACATGAATACCCCAGGGGGCCCTTGGTGCCCAAATGGGAGCACATTAAACTGGAAACACCCTAGTGGGCAGTTAAAAGTCATTTTCCATTAATCTCCCTCCCAAATTCTGACCAAGTAATAGGCTTCATGCAAGTCCAACTTGGAAAAAATCTTGCCCTTTGAAGGTGTGTCAGCATGTCCTTCATGCAGGGCAGAAGTACACATTTTCCATGCACACCAGTGGTGGATTTCTACCAGTCAGCATCAGTACGCCCAGACCTGTAGCAGAAATTGGGCATACGTTTGTTTACCGTTATAGATGGAGGCCCCATACCGGTATGGTCTCTCCCCTGGCCTGCCCCCGCTCGCTCCTCCCACCCACCCAGTCATCACTCTCTCTCTGTTACCATGCCTGTTTGCACCATGCTTGCCCTGCTTACCCATTTCCTTTGTCAGAGCAGAGGACTCGACAGTTGGAAGAAGCCCTGTGCTTCCTTCTCTTTGACAGCCACCTTATTTGCAATGGGGGGGGGAGAAATCCATGAGATAGGGGGAAGAGAGGCTATCCCTAGCAGAAGCTCAGCCTTCTCCCTGGTCTAACCCATGGAATTCTCCCCACCCCATTGCAAATGATACGGCTGTCAAAGAGAAGGAAGCGTGGGCTTCTTCCAACAACCGAAGCCTCTCTCTGCTCCTCTTCCTTCCTTGGCTGTTGGAAGAAGCCCTGGTGCTTCTTTCTCTCCCCCTGATTTTTCCCCACCCCACTGCAAGCGAAGCGGTTGTCAAAGAGAAGAAAGCACAGGGACTTCTTCCAACAGCCCTAAGCCTCTGTCTGCTTGTCTTCCTTCCTCGTCTTTTGGAAGAAGCCCTCGTGCTTCCTTCTCTTTGACCACTTTCAGTGGCAGACATGANAGTAGCCGGGTTGGCGGTAGAGTTCCCCAGGCTAATGGTGCTGGGGGACTTTAATCTACCGTCTCTCGGCGAACACTCTGAGGGGCCACAGGAGTTCATGGCCTCCATGATAACCATGAACTTGACCCAAGTAGTTCAGGGTCCAACTCATAGAGCGGGACACACACTCGACCTTGTACTTCTCTTGGGGCAGTGGAGACGTGATCTGGGGAATAGAGACCTCACCCTTGTCATGCTCAGATCACTCCTTGCTGAGGTTTGACTTCAGGACACTATTCCCTCACTGCATGGAGGTGGAACCAATTAAATGGTTCCGCCCCAGGCGCCTGATGGACCTGATGGGATTTCAGAGGGAGCTTGGAGAAATACCTGACTCCCTTGCACGCAATCTGACCAAATCCTTAGTCGCTGCCTGGAATGTTGCGGCGACTGAGGCACTGGACTGGATTGCGCCTTTGAGGCCTCTCTGTGGCAGTGGATCCAGGAGGGCACCTTGGTTTACTGAGGAACTCCTGGAGATGAAGTGCCAAAAGAGACGCCTAGAGCTACGTTGAAGGACTAGTAACTCTGAATCTGATCGAACACTACTAAGAGCCTTTATTAGGACTTAC